TTCAGTCCAAACTTGACTGATTCCCAACTCCCAGCTATCATATGTCACTTCTTCCATGTGAGTTAACACATACACCCACTGAAATGTTACTCATTTTAATTGCTTTGATTTTAGCGGAGAGGATTAGAATGGTTGGGTTGTATATATACTTTATTTATAAAGTATATATACTTTAATTAATATGCTTTCAGTTTAATTTACCATTGTGGAAACAGGATCTGTAATAAGGAAACAACCCCTTAAGTCGCCTCTGCCTTCAGACGTGACCTTTAAACTTCACTGAACATAACACAGCCAGAGTGATCATTATAAAACATAAGGCCTACTATATGTGTATCTTTTAATAGTGGTGATTTCCCTTTATCTATTAAATACAACCAAAACTACTTATCTTGGATATTAGTACACCAATGTTCATTGCAGCACTTTTAAAATAGTCACAATAGTCAAAAAGTAGAAAGAAACCAAGTGTCCATAAACAGATGAATAGATAAACAAAATGTGGTATACACATACAATAGAATCTTATTCAGCCACAAAAGGGGGAATGAACTTTCTTTTGGCGGCGGGGGGGGAGGAGGGAATGAATTCTGATATGTGCTACAGCATGCATGAACTTTGGAAAATATTATGCTAAGTGAAATAAGCCACACACAAAAGGTCAAATATTGTATGGTTCCACTAACATGCAATATCTTCAATAGGCAAATTTATAGAAAAAGAAAGCACATCAAAGGTTATGAGGGGTTGTGGGGAGGGTAAATGGAGAATAATTGCTTAAATAGAGTTTTATTTGAAGTGATAAAAATATTTTGGAAGTAGTTGTGATGGTTGCATAATATTATGAACATAATGTCACTACATTGTATAATTAAAATGTTGATGGCTAATTTTATTTATTATATGTGTATTATATTTTATGCATTGTATATATTTGCTGATTTAAAAAATTAATAATGTAATATACCAAAAACTATTAAGTTGTACACTTTTAATGTGTGAATTATATGGCATATAAACTAAATCTCAGGGGCACCTGGGTCGCTCAGTGGGTTAAAGCCTCTGCCTTCGGCTCAGATCATGATCTCAGGGTCCTGGGATCGAGCCCTGCATCGAGCCCCACATCAAGCCTCGCATTGGGCTCTCAGCTCAGCAGGGAGCCTGCTTCCCCCCTCTCTCTCTCTACCTGCCTCTCCGCCTACTTGTGATCTCTGTCTGTCAAATAAATAAATAAAATCTTTAAAAACAACAACAACAACAACAACAACAAACCACTACATTTCATTAAAACTTTTTTTTTTTAAACACTTCTTATCTTGGCAGATCAAATTCTTTATTATTGGAGCCCTCCCTAGAATTCCAGCTTCATCTCACACTGATTCAGGCCACACAACCTGCATTCTTTTTTTTTTTTTTTTTAAATTTTTATTTATTTGACAGACAGATCACAAGTAGGCAGAGAGGCAGGCAGAGAGAGAGAGGAGGAGGAGGCAGGCTCCCTGCTGAGCAGAGAGCCCGATGTGAGGCTCCATCCCAGGACCCTGGGATCATGACCTGAGCCGAAGGCAGAAGCTTTAACCACTGAGCAACCCAGGCGCCCCACAACCTGCATTCTAATCATATCAAATGATATATGACTCTGTGTCTACCCTGTGTTTTTTTCATGTCTTTGTACAAAATTTTTCTGAGTCTTTAGTCTAGAAGAGTAGTTTGGAAATTTTTATTTTGAGAACTTTTACTCTCTTAAAAATTATTGAGGAGTTGAGAGAAATTTTGTGTGAATTGTTCCTATAGCTATTTACCATATTAGAAATTTAAACTAAAAATGTAGTTTTAACCATATAATAATCTCTTTTAAAGTAAAAATGAATTGCTTGCATATTAATATAACCAGTATCTTCTAAGAAATTATCTGTTTTTATTTTAATATTTCACTTATTTATTTGATAGAGAGAGATCACAAGTAGGTAGAGAGTGGGGTGGGGGGAAGCAGGCTCCCTGCTGAGCAGAAATGCAGGGCTCGATCCCTGGACCCTGGGATCATGACCTAAGCTGAAGGCAGAGGCTTAATCCACTGAGCCACCTGGGCACCCCTATCTGTGTTGTTTTAAGTGAAAAGAGGAGACGGCAGGATTCATACATCTACTTCTTCATGCTATCTGTAATGATATTTTAATTGAAGTATGTGAAGAAAATCCAGCCTCACACAGCTATGAAGTTGGAAGAAAGAGGAACGTTTTAGTAGACTTTTCAGATAATTCTGGATATTCTTTCACACTACACCAACACATAAGAAGCAACAGTTACTTAAAGGTTAGCTTCAGTGTAGAATCAGAAACACATAATGGTGAACTTTTCATACTCTATTACATTAAAGTTCATTGGTCTATCCTACACTTTGAATGGATCATTTACGCATGCATGATTTTATCATGCCATTTGCAAAGTATTGGTTCCCTAAGTTATGTATATCTGTTGACACATTTCATTTAGCAATAAAGCAACACCCCCATCACTTCAGTAATATCACCACCCATCTCATCAGAAAAGCCTTTAAGCATTGGGAAGTTATCAAGCTTACTGTGTTTGATACAAGTCTTCCAGAATTCTAATTTTTACTTGAAAGCTTGATTTCTATTATTTGCAGCAGATATTGTAAGTCATTTTCCTTGTAGTGACAGACTCATTGTATTCATTCTTTAGAAAATGTCTGCCTCATACCTAGGTCTGAATAACGATAGTCTGTTCTTCATTCTTTCAAGTAAAACATGGTGTTCCATAAAAGAAGCATGAACCCAAATAATAGCACAAATACTTGATTTCCTTCAGGCAACCATTGCACTTCAGAATGCAGCAAAAGTGCCTTATGTGTATTTCATCACACAGAATATTAAAGAGATGTGTACTGAAGAATCAAGATTCAATAAAATATAAATGTTTTACTCTCTTCAAGGACGTTCTTTAAGTGAAACTGTTCTTTTGTTTTTATTTTTTTTCCCAGCTGTTAAGTGCCAGTGAAAAATACAATGACTAACTACTAGGACCGTCTGGTGCCATCGTCTTGATTACCACTCAGTTGCCAGCAGTCTAGTCACCACTGCTTTTACATCATTAATGAGAATGTCAATACCATGGAAAAGGTAATTATCTAGTATTATCATAAAAATAACTCTTAGACTCCATGAACATGTAACGGGGAACCCCAGGAAACCAAACTTGAAGACCACAGGTCTAGAATTATCCTTCTTCCTCTTCTCCTCCCCTATCTAGCCCAATCAATTAATAGATTCCTATTGAACCTTTACATTTCCTCAACTCAGGTCAGTGGCATCTTGCACCCTGCCCCAAAGAGATTATTTTTGTTCTCTAGTCCTCTAGTATCTTGTAGATTCTACTGATTTTCAATGTTTGTTTACTTGTAGTTGCTTCTGAAACTGTAGCTTCTAAAGGCCTATGGACTCATACTCAACTTTATATCAAAAAATTTGGAGCACAGAAAATGAATTAACAAATTAATACATTGTGGGTATAGTGTAAGCACCTCCAAATCTAAGTTGTGTCAGCCTAGAAAAACTGGAGGACCACAGTGTTATAATCTAAACTTCATAGACTTAAACTGAATCAATAAAAGTCAAGTATATCTGAAGTCTATGATCAGTACAGTTACAGTTGCATTGTTTCTCTCTCTCTCTCTGTCTCTCGCACACACACACACACACACACACACAAGCACATGCACACACATACACAGACACACACACAAGCCAAAATGGAATGTTGGCATGTTCTGGAATTTACAAATTGGTATGAAATTATCAATAAGTATGGTAACTTTACTTAGAGAACAAAGAAATGAAAATGTATATTTGTATAAGTATATGATTGAACTAATTTGGAAAATCTGAATAGGCAAATACTGGCCTAGCAGAATGGCAGGCATAGCATGGAGTGCCAATATGAAATAAAAAGTTTGAAAATATTTATATGTATATTTATATGAGGAAACATACACTGGATGCTGGAACTCACTAGTTATCATGTATATTAATATAAGTTGATATTTTCTATAAATTAGACAGTCATAGCTGAAAAATTATGAAATTATTGTAAAAAATATGGGACAATAAAACTTTTTACATACAGTTATTGAAATATAAACTGATATGGTCTTTTTGGACAGAAATCTGTCCAACTATGAAAAATAAAATAGACACCAACTGACTTTGCAATTCTATTTCTAGGATTCTGTGCTAAAGAAATACTCACATATATGAATAAAGATATCTATATGCAAAAATGTTCATTGTGACATTGTAGGTAATGATGAAATACCAGAAACAAATGTTTATCAGAAGAAAATAGTCAAATAGTTTATCTTTAGTACATAATAGGCATAGGCTTTCTAAAGAATGAGATAGAGTCTTATATACTGAAATAAATGGTTTTCAAGATATTTGATAATTTAAAAAAAGCAGCTGAATAATGCATATAGGATCATTCAATTTTGTAATTACAAATTGCATTCACACACATGAAAAAAATTCTGAAGGCATGACAGCTATCAGCTATGGATGAGTATATGGAATTGATGTTGCAATGATGAGGGAGAAATTTCATTTTTAAATCCATATTACTTGAATACTTTACAATTAATTTAATAAACTAATTTGCAATTTAAAAAGTAATGAAAAGGACTGACCTAAAGTATAGTGAAATTGGAAAAGTGGGGGATATATGGAAATCACATAGAGAGAAAAGAGGTTGTATGAGGAATATATTGAAAGTTCAAGATTAGAAACTAATAATCAAAATATACAAACAGTACATGCTAAGAGTAAATTGATTTTTTGACTTTGGAAGATCAGATAATATAGGTGCATTATTCTTGAACATAAACTCAAAAAAATATAATTGCTACATGCAATTACCACTCTAATTTCTCTGCTAATGCAAATGATACTCATTTCACCAAATTATTTTTAAAAAATTATTGTACTTACTTTCAACGATTACTTGTCTGTCTTCCCAGTTATCTTTAATAAGCTGTATATTTCCAAAGTGTGCATCGCTGTAAAAGATTCGGTTGGTACCTTTTCTTCTTTGATTGTAGTCAAAAGCCAAGGCTATGACATTCTTGAAATAATGTGGATTCTCATATGGCCTTATTGGTGAATTTAAATTGGTTTCATCAGAAAGATGTATACTTTTTAATATTGTTCTCCCTGAATACAGCAAATAGCCTTCATGCCTTAGGCAAGTAACTCCATCCTCTGCCAAATATCCATGGGCACAAGTGCAAGTTCTCTGAGAATTTCCTCTATAAAGACAGAGTTGCTGACATCCACCATTGTCTTTGGCACAAATATTGGTCCCTAAAGAGGAAAAAAATATACATACGTACACAAACATACATTTGTGTTTTTCTTTTGTTTATCAAATTATTTTTTTCTTACAGAAATATTTAAAAATAATGTTGAATGGTCTGTCTTTTTATTTTTTTTAAAAGATTTTATTTATTTATTTGACAGAGAGAGAGAGATCACAAGTAGGCAGAGAGATGGGTGGAAGCAGAGATGGGTGGAAGCACATCTGAGCAGAGAGCCTGATGTGGGGCTTGAACCCAGGACCCTGAGATCATAACCTGAGCTGAAGGCAGAGGCTTAACCCATTGAGCCACCCAGGCGCCACTGTCTTTTTATTCTTAATACTGGTGAATGAAAAAAATCAAGTACTCTAAAGTACTGATTTTTTTTTTATACCAGTTTAAAATCGTGGATTTCTTATTTCAAAGATCACATTCTTCTGCTCCAAACACCATCCAAATAAAAGCATTAAAATTTTCCCTCAATCAGCCAGTTAAGTGTATAAGTCTTTTTTGAAACTTGATGCTGAATTGCAATAGGTTTTATGTATTATAATCTTTAGCATAAATAACAATTCTTTCAAAACATGAACTGAATTCACCAACAAAGTGCACACTGCTTTAAAATCTTGCCTATGAAATACGAAAGCTATCAAAGAAATTTACAACTGTAATGCACCTAACCTTCTAAATATAGTAAGCATAAGTTTTTGCTTCAGTTTGGAGGGAAGACGTAATATATTAAGATTAAGATTTCTCCATCAGGCTAATTTTCCTCCATGAATCCGTCATCAGCTCCAAAATTATCACACCTATCTTTGATGTCAAGAAAGTTAATTATAATTATTTCAATGGACATTAAAATTGATATTTAATGGCATAAAATAGGCATTTAATTTGACTGAGGTAAATTTTTAAAAAATCCAAACCATCATCATAACAGTTTCAAAATACACATTTTAAAGAAGTGATGACTTCAGAAATATTTCACACCAACAGTGAACTTCTGAAGCTATGATCACTTTATATATCAAAATATAACCCCAAACACATATTTTTGTCTGCTTTTTATTCTCTAGTATCCTAATTATGCAATGCATTTTTTGTTGAGTAGATAGATATAGATATAGATATTCTATATTACTTAGCCCAAACCTATAGTGAAGACATGCCAGGTATATAACAATTCCATATACATACACTGCCCTAGGCAAACATATCTATGTATGAACTATTAAATATTCATTTCATTAGGCAACTGTATGATTTTTGTAGGAAATTAGATGTAAAAAATAGAATTTTGAGGTTTTTGATTCAGATAAGAATCTCTAACTTAAGTTTGATAAATGTTGAAAAAATAGGAGAGGGATGACATAAGATGTATTCATTATATAAGAATGCTGACCTTTCTCTCTTACTCGATTAAAGATTTTAACTTCCTTCAGGTTGACTCCAAGACCTGTTCTCATGGTTATGGTTTCTGTGGCATCATTCTTGTGGCCTCTTCTGATGGACCCGTTGGCATGTGCTCTGACAAGAAGTTGAACATACATGATCACCAATCTTTAAGTAATTCACATCAAGTCAATTATTTAAACTGAAGATAACAGATGGCCAAGCAGAAGGGGAAAAAACCAACTTTAGTCTGTGACATTGAAATACTTGAGCCAGGAAAAGCAAGAGTGCCTGACTTTCTGTGGAAATAACGTGGCTTTGTGAGATCCTTTTTATGACCTTGCTAAGGAATGGCTAATCCTACAAGAGTAAAGCAACTGGCACTGAAATAACATTTTGAGACTCAAATACTTATGAAAAAATAAATTACCTGTCAGACCAGTAGATGTAAGCCCCAAAGACTGCAACTGAAAACATATCCACATTGCTCCCTGACAGCACCATCTCACGATTCCCTCCAGTCTCAAGGTCGATTCTTTCTATTTTGTCTGTACGAGCATCACACCAGTACAATTTGTTTTCCTAAAGATCGATTGAAAAGTAATATTAGAAGCTGTTTGGGATTAAATGATTTATTAAAAAATAAGGGAACAGCAAGAATGGATTAATGCAAGTTGGCAGTTAATGCACTTTAAATACTTAAGAAATCCAACACACCTCATAGTCAATGGAGATACCATTTGGCCATGCTATTCCCATGCTTACAAGGATAACCTTCTCTGAGCCATCTAAGCGAGCCTTTCCAATGCAAGGCATCTGTCCCCATTCAGTCCAGAACAAGTAGCTGAAATGAAATTGTTGATTTATAGTAATATGCAAATAGACACAAAAACACAATTATTAATAATAAAGCAGTAACATCCATACCAATAGAACAAAAATAATACATTTTAGAAATCAATACACTTATGTGTTTCTGTTTATAAAAATATTTTTTATTGTAAATAATATTTAATTATTCATAGAAATCACAAGGATGGATTAAAATTCCTCCAAAATACTTTGCTCGTTCAACTCCCTGTCTGAAATGCTCTTCTCCAACCTGTTTGACTAATTTGCTCTTGTTCCTATTTCAAACATCATTTCCCTCAAAAATTCTTCTGTGTTCTGATTACTGTACCATACATTCTGCATGGATTAGAGTGGCAAATTTACGCTGTTACATTTCTTATATTTTTGTACAGTGTTATTTTTTATTAATGTCTTTTGTCTCCATTGGACAATAAGCTCAAGGAAGACAGTGATTTTTTCTCCTTTTCATCTGCTGGGACACTTACAGCACTAGAAAATTAGAGAATTTTTAAAATAAAAATTAGTTATAGATAAATATTTGATTTATTAATGCATACATAAAAGCACTATAATTTCAATTCTGTCTAATTACATTGCTAAATGTAACTATTCTAATTTGAAGTTTGTAAGTTATCCTGTGAAGCAATCATAAAGTGCGGATTCATACAAAAGCAGACATTCCTATTTTAGTAATCTCATAAAGCAAAATGGAATATGGAAGAAAATTAAATACAAAAAGAAAATCCAGAGCATGCTGAAATAAAACACATCAAAAAAAACTAAATGTAGAAAAATAGAAGGCATATTATCTGTGCTTTTTTCACTCATTCACTCAGCATATATAATATTTATACAAACATATTATAATGCAAAATACATGCTTTCAGGATCCACTCTTCTGAAGCTGTGCCTACTGAAGTTTTTATCCAACCATCAGAAAATGACAATTAGACTTTAGAAAAATATGGCAATCATTGATTCATTCAGGCAAAATTGGATAGTATTCTGTGCATATTAGAACACATATATGAGTGATCATACATGAGAAAATGAGATTGGATAAGGAAAAATCAAAGATGTACATTCATATTTAGTATCCACTTAATGAAATTACTATTCATCCATAAATATATGTATTCCCTTTATGCATATTCTTTCGATTTATTTTAAAAGTTGATTTTTTTTCCCTGAAAATGCTATATAAAATAAATGTGTTGGACTTTTACAACCAGATGAAAAAGAGGTGTAGCTAGAATTCCAAGTATAATAGTCCTGAAGAAACTTTCATTCATATTCACAAGCTCTATAAATCAGAAAGGGAAATCTTTGTAGCAAGAAATCCAACTAATATTTTATTGGTTAGATCTATGCTGAAACAGGCATGAAAAAAAAATCTACAGTTGCATTAAAGTTAATAATTTTTTAAACTTTAATGGGGATTCTCATTATATTAAAAAATAAATTAGATAACTGAGATGCCAAATTTGTTGCTCCATTTAATTTTTTTAAAAGAAAATTTTCAGCATTAATAATGCTCCTAAAATGACTAGTCAGTCACTGTGTTAAAATGGCAGGGGATGTGACACTGGGAAGAAGGTATTGTGGGAACTAGCACAGACAGTCGGATTCATGTCATCTACTTTAACATATTTCAGAGTTCAAGTATGTAAGGAAATATGTACAATATACATTTTATTTAATAATAACCTGTTTCCAAATGCACTAAGTGAATAATAAAAAATATTACTTCGAGTGAACAGGGAAAATTAGCCATTTAATATATTTAAGCTCTAATTCTCACAGGTATGGAAACTGTGGCTCAGGAAGTTAATGATCCACAATCGCACAGATGACAAGGAAGGGTTCAAGCCAGGAATTTCACTCAGGCTTTATGAACCCAGGCCTGTGGTGTATTCTCTATGTTGTCTCACCAAGTATAAATATAATACAATGATATAATAATCTTATATCAAATGCTATTTTTCCCTAGGTATAAAGAATAGAACAAAGATCTTCATACTTAAAAACACAAAACAAGCCATGAAAAAAGGTCTTAGTATTGAGAAACAAGTCTCTCTTGTTCTTTTTTCTCAAGTAGTCCCTATTTATTTTAAATCTATAATACTTCCATGCAGGAGTCTTGAATGAATGATTATAAACTTAAGAATTAAAACTGGGGCGCCTGGGTGGCTCAGTGGGTTAAAGCCTCTGCCTTCGGCTCAGGTCATGATCCCAGAGTCCTGGGATCGAGCCCCGCATCGGGCTCTCTGCTTGGCAGGGAGCCTGCTTCCTCCTCTCTCTCTCTGCCTGCCTCTCTGCCTACTTGTGATTTCTGTCTGTCAAATAAATAAATAAAATCTTTAAAAAAAAAAAAAAAAAAAAAGAATTAAAACTATCCAAAATAAAATTGTCTTGAGTAAAGATTTTACTCAAATTTCCCATAGCAATTTGATAAATCATCATTATATATGAAGCCAGATCTGACTGAGGGAATCACTTTTATGGCTAAATAATTTATCAACTTAATAAAACTAAAAGATTCTATTCCTACTAAAATTAAGCAACACTTTATGAGTATTAAGAAAGGAGTAATTTATTTGCTCCTTAAACTGAAATTAAAAATAAGGAATCAAATAGAATTAGCACCTTGAGAACCTTCAGGGATTATAACTAAATGTAGAAAAAGAACACTAAGCTTATAAAACTGGAGAGAGAAACTTATAACTAATTTAAGATAGTAATTTACATAGATGTACTTGAGATACCTTTAATGAACATAGATTCTTGGTATCTAAATGTGATTTTTCACAAAGGAAAGAAATGAAAATCTTTGTCACTGGTTTTTGAAACCCCATGGAAATTAAGATTCAGTGACAGCATTACAGATTGATTTTGTTCCCATTTGAGTTCAAAATTTGCCACAGTGAAATGTTTGTTGAGGTGTATGATATAGTGAAGGAAATTGCCTTTAGAGAATTATCTTGGTTAATCTAGCACTAAAAATACTTCTCAAGGTTATTCCAGACCTAGAAATGTTCAGAATTGTCTAAATCAAATACTGTGTTGTATAATTGAAGTTTCTCTGGATAATAATTTGTCCTAGTAATATGGGAATTTACTATTCCCATATTCCCATACTATTCCCTAGTAATATGGGAATTTACAGAGGCTTGCAGTTATATAATTTACAATCACAAAATCAAAAATGGGACATTCCAAAAGTGGTTTGAAAGGATTATAAGAATAATGTCAGAAATCATCATGACACAAATATCCACATTGTCTTAATAAGACACTGAAGTTTTTGGCAGGAAAATGTGCAATGAATACACATTATGTTCCAATATTAATGCCCAATTAATTATTGACATTTGAATAACAGGTAAAATATTCCATTTGGTTGCACCGAAAATCCTAAAGTCCCCAAAAGTTTATTGAATTTATCATATGACCATTGTACCAATAATCAGAATTACCTTACATACAGGTACACTTAGAAAGGAAAACAAATCTTTTTTTCCTCTCACAATTAGTTAGATTAAAGCTCAAAAATATAGAAAATATTACAAATGCCCTTGTATAATTATAAATAAAGTTTTTTGAGAAATAAAGCTAACATAAAGCTTTGGCTTTGGTAGGGAAGGGTAAAAAGTGTGAGATAGAAAGAAAAGAATGAATAAGGCCAAATTATTATAAAAAGAACAGGATTAAATGTGATTTTTTTAGACATAAGAAAATAGTGAAAAGCAACTAATTTGAATCAATCCTTTTTTTGAATTTGAGATTCTCTTTTTAACTGCTAAACTATTTCCTTTGAACACAGATCTGGGTTTCAATTTTTACAATAACCTCACCACTTCTTTCTATTCCCATGCCGTTATGAGAGAGCATGATTATATACTTTATCAGATATGCTAAAGAAAGATGAGATAAAACCAAAAATTTCCATGCTGGCACAAAAATGAAGATCATGTAATTCTTTTATAGGTAGATGCCTTGATTGAGAATCAAGAATGTTACTGCTGGGGCTCCTGGGTGGCTCAGTGGGTTAAGCCTCTCTGCCTTCTGTTCAGCTCATGATCCCGGGCTCCCAGGATCAAGCCCACATCCGGCTCTCTGCTCAGCAGGGAGTCTGCTTCCCCGCCTCTCTCTCTGCCTGCCTCTCTGACCACTCGTGATCTCTTTTTGTGTCAAATAAATAAATAAAATCTTTAAAAAAAAAAAAAGAATGTTATTGTTCTCTCTGCCATACTGGGAGGTAAACAGTATGTTACTTTATCAGCAAAAAGTACAAAGAAACAAAAAGAAACAAAACAAAAACCCTACAAATTAACAATAGCAGCTAGCCTTTATGAGAGCATGAGTTTTATCTGACAAAAACCTGCTTGCAATTTTCAATGTCTTAGCAGTTTCATTAAAATTACTTAAAACTCATACTAATCGAATGATTTGTAGGCCAACATGTCAATGTCTCCATCTTTAGGGTACGTGCAAATAATATAAAGCTCTGAATACATTTCATGAATACATGAATTGACATCCTTCATCCCCTATGAGGAAACGGTGTAAAGTAGAACCTTCTCTATTCCTGTGAGGGCTTCTTCACATTTCCTTGTTCTTCATTTAATGTGCAGTTTTGTTTTGAGAAAGCATTCCATGCCAATCCCAAATCACTTTTCAAGTGTCCTGAATGTGTTACTATTGCTTAGAGGTTACTGTAATATAAAAAGAACTCAGGCACAGATAGCAGAACACGTGCTAAAAGGAAGAGTCTAGAGACAGTATAACCTTGAACACTACTTTTTTTTTTTTTTTTTTTTTTTTTGGTCTGTAGTTTGGTGGATGATTCTCAAATGTATTCTTTTAATGCAGTCATGTACTCACATAACAAATATCAAGTAGGTACCTATTATGTGCTAGCAGCTGATGATACCGAATATAGTGGCTTTAGCAACCCTATGAAACCCACTGATTAACGGTAGAGGCAAAAGG